AGTCTCTGCTGCTTTGTCTCTGAAGTGCATGGACAATGCACCCCGCATCAGGCTACAACTATCTGTGCCATCTCCCAAAGTAAAGTTTACCGGTTTGGTTTAATTTCTTTTGTGTGTGTGTGTGGCAAATACAAAGAAGTCAGAAGTTCCCTGCATAGTACCTAGAAATATGTATGAAAGATCTTTTTGACAGTATAGGGCTTGGAAAAAAATGCTGTGTAGCAGTGCCGGGCAATAGCAATTAGTACCAACAGGAACATTTTCCATTTATCACATCGTGTGTCTGTTCGGTCATATCTGGTTTGGGTCTTGCATCGGATGAGACATAAGAAAAGGCTTTACTCATTCTCTTGAAAAATCATTTTTTATTTCTAGAGCAGAAATCATTGGTTGTACTTCAAAGTCTCAGAAAGTTGGGTTTGTATTTCTTTGTTCTCTTAAGTAGGCAGATACCTGATTACAAGCCCATTTTAACAAAATACAGTGCTAGAGCAGACAGTGAAAGAAAAGTATCAAATATATAGAGTTAAACATAACCTCAACTACTGAGTCTTTGTTATCCATGGATGATAGCCCAGTTAATAAATGTTTTCTCACTGGGATGCTGGACTGGAAGTTAATGGTTGAAATACATCTGCAGCATACTCCAGATGCTCAAGACAAGCAGACACATCACAGCCATAACAGCAGTGGCACGCACAGAATGTACCTGTATGGGGGTTGTGTTAGTCCAGCTTGGGCTTTCTCCTTCACTAGCCCAGGTGCAAACACTGTGTCTGGGCAGGGAGAAGACTGGTTCATGTTTTGGATACATTGCTTGAAAATGGTGCTTACTACTGGCAGGGGTTTATATAGAGAAAAGGGAAGAGGGGAAAGATGAAAGAGGAAAGATTTTGGCAGAGGCTGTAGTTCAGGCATGCAGAACAGATATCCTAGTCCACATAATCATAAAAGTGTGTCCGCTTGCTAGGCTTGCTGCGTATCTCTCTCCGGTTAGGTTTCTGTCTTTAAATGTAAATGACATAGTATTGCCTTTAGACTTTGTGAGTCACTAGACCAGAGCCAAAAAGAGTTCAAATATGAAAAATATGTTTTGTTACATTTGCCATTAAAGGAACAGTCATGTTCTAAGAGAGACAGAGCCTGAATTGTTTCCATAGTGGTTTTCTCCCCCTTTTCAACATTTGCCCACATTTTGTTAACTGGATTGAGCAAAAAAAAGTAGGGACAGGGTGGCAGAACTGAACACAAGTCATTTCTTTACTTGCTGTCAGCCCATCCAAAAAAGCCTTTACAAAGGAATACAGGAAAATCCATGATTCTCCATTGCTGCCCCAGAAAAATTCCTAAAATATATGACCTTGCGATGGTTAAAAGATAGCCAAGAGCCAAAGCTGGGCAATGTTTTTATCCCAGTTCAGCCATGTCATGGGTCATGTGGTTCAGCATGTGAACAGGAAGGTGAGAATGGGTGAACTTTTGCCTCAGTTGTGCAGTCCATCAGAGAATAAATGGAGCAAATCACTCTGCAGCTGTATCGGGAGGTGAACGGCTGAATACCTCTCACACAGAGGCCTTTGTGTTCTGGACATGATCTAGCATTATGATGGGACGCACTAGGCTGAGGCTTTGTAGCAATTACTAACCCATTATCACGCTAGAACATGAGATCATTTATCTTCTAATTCAGAGTGTCACCTGTTCTTCATTTGCCAGTCAATAACCATTAATTACTTTCAGTGGAAATTTAAACAAAGCTTTTCCCCTCTGTTAAAACCAGTAAGCCATTCAGTAATGACAAATAAACCTGGAGCTGTATCTCCCCCTTCCCTCTCATTCTCAGCCCGGAGTCTGGTACAATATGAACTCTTAAAGGAAATGCCTAGAAATTGATAGGTCAAGGGCCTTTAGTAGTCTGGTGGCGGGGGAAGCACA